AATCTCTGTAAATGTTCATTAATATTATTAAAATAAAATTTAAAAAAAAAGAATGTGAGAAAAGGTCTCGACATCCACACTTCTACAGAACACTCTGGCTGCACTTCTTTCAAGACAGATTTGCTTGTACTTTTAGCACCCTGTGGTATATTCAATATTCTCCACACACAGTATAATCCAAAGGTGGTAATCAAAAACACCACAGCCTGGGCCAGGTGCACCTTAGTCCTCAGAACACCATCCTTGCTCATAAACACTTTAAAGAGGTGCTTTGTGGCTGATTTGCCCAATGCAGTATGTCTATTTCTTTATTGCTATTGCCAAAGGTGCTGATTGTGGATACACTCATTCACTCATTGCTGTGGCATTGGAACTGGCTCATAGCTGACCATCAAGTTTTCAGAGACTAAATCTCACGAGAGATTACCCATCTTTCTCCTTTGAGGCAATGATTCTGAAGCTTCGTCTGACATACTTTGGGTATGTTTCAAGGCAGAATCAGTTCTTGGAGAGAAACATCATGTTTGGGAAGGTGGAGGGACAGCATAAGGGAGGAAGACCCTTGATGAGATGGATTGACTCTGTGACTGGGGCAATGAGGGTGGGTTGTCAGCAGATGATGAGGTTGGCTTAGGATAGAGCAGGGTTCAGAGCTGTTGTGCACAGGGTCGCTATGAGTCACAGCGACTTGAAAGCATGTAATAACAAAACAATATGGATCAATAAGATGAAAAGGCACAACTCTGATGCACATTATTTCTTGATTTCAAACTTAGTACCACCTTTTTTTGTCTGAACAACTGCTTCTTGGTTCATTACAGGTTCCACATGAGCTCAATTAAAGTTCTGGAATTCTCATTCTTCTGTTATCCATAATTTGGTATGATCCACACAGTCAAATGCCATATAGTTAATAAAGCACAGTTATTCTCTTTTTTCAGTCAAGATTATACACCATGTTCCATAGCTGCTTCTGAATCTAGCAGTTCTCAGTTGATTTACTATTGAAACTGTTT